AATAGCCCAAGGCTGATTCCTATGGGGCCGAGGTCAGACATAACTCCTGTCTCCAACCTTTCTACCAATTCTGATACTGGTTGTCCCTTCCACAGCACAATCTACTTCTCTGCTGGGTTTGGTAATTCATTGCAGTGGCCACACAGAACTCACAGACCATACTCACGATTATGGGGTTTTTCAGAGAAGTGTTGTTATGTACCGTTGAGTTGGACCCAACTCTTAGCAACCTCTCCTTGGGTTTCCGAGGCAGTATCACTATGGAAGTAGATTGTCCAACCTTCCTTCCGAGGAGTGGCTGGTGGGTTTGAACTGCCAGTCTTCTGGTTAGCAGTCAAGTGCCTTAGGCACTACACTACCAGAGCTCACTATTAGAGAAGTACCAGGTTACAATTCAGGATCACGAACAATTCATGATATAGTTCTTCAGTAAGAACAGCTTTTGGGCCATGGCCACAGGCAAGTCTTTCCTTCCATTCCTAGGTCCCTCAGGCTGGCCTCTGGCCTGTTTTAACAAGTGTTACAAAGCTCTTTAGTTCCCCTAGTAAGTGCCCAAAAGCACCTCTCTCCACCAGTAGGCCTCTTGTTTGAAGGCACTCAGCTCTCTCAGTAGGTGGGTCAACCAAGCCTATTGTGACCACCTTGTTCTATAAGCCAGGAAGCCCACCACACCGTCTTACACTGATTTCCTGTCTCATGCTACTGTTATTTCTCTGCTATGGCTTCTCACTGTCTCCATTGTTACAGCTCTGTCTCCTGGGTCTACGAGGTTCATAGTGCAGGGGCCCCAGGTTCAAAAGACATGCTCCACTCTCAGCTCTTCTTGGCAGTAATGAGGTCCTCACCTTTCTACCTCTGGGACTGCTGATGTTAAGTTTAGCAGGATAGCAATCCCTTGTTAGGGTTCCATACACCTTATTTACATGGTCCCATCCCAACAAGGGTGCCATGTACCTTATTTGCATCTTTAGCAAGCTGTCCAATCCCTTTAGTGGGCCACAAGCACTTTATTTGCATAGTCCCACCCAATCATCTTGTGGGAGTTACAATACGATGGTGAGAAAGGCCATATAAAAGGATCAATTGCACTGCACTAGGCCTCAAGAAAGAGCCCTGGTGGGGTAGTGCCTAAGGCATTTGACTGCTAACCAGAAGGCTGGCAGTTCAAACCCACCAGCCACTCCTCAGAATGAAGATTGGGCATTCTACTTCTGTAGAGATACGGCCTCAGAAACCCAAAGCAGGATCACTATGAGTCAGGACTGACTCGATGGCAGTGAGTTTGGTTTTTGGTTTCGATAGGCCTCAAGAGATCTTGATGCTTTCATTCTCTTTCTTTTAGAGTCCGTTTTTTGAGGAGCTAAGGAACTCTGGTGGTGCAGTGCCTAAGGCATTTGACTGTTAACCAGAAGGTTGGTGGTTCAAACCCACCAGCCACTCTGTGGAAGAAAGATGGGGCAATCTACTTCCATAGAATTACTGTCTCAAAAACCCAATGGGGGGCGCTATGAGTCGGAATTGACTCAAAGGCAGTAGGTTTGGATGTGAAGAGCTAGACTGCTAAAGAAGCCACATGGAGGAGAATGGAGTCACATAAGCCTAGAACCTGAGCCAACTGCAAGGCATGTGAATGAAGCTTATAGGACTAGACAACCTGAAACTAACTGCCAACATGGGACTGAGCCCAGGCAAAACCATGTTGAGCAGAAAAGAATTGTTTCAGCTTCTTGTTGTTGTTATTATGTGCCATCAAGTCAGCCCTGACTCATAGCGACCCCTCCTTGGGTTTCCTAGGCAGTATCACTACGCAAGTAAGATTGCCCAACCTTCCTTCCGAGGAGTGGCTGATGGGTTTGAACTGCCAGCCATCTGGTGAGCAGTCAAGTGCCTTAGCCACTATGCTACCAGAGCTTAGACATGTCTAAAGTGCCAACCCACAAAAACAAGCAAATAAATGATTCTTGTTTTAAGCCACTATGTTTTGGGTTATTTGTTATGCAGCAATACATAGTTGATACACTTAGGTTCTCAGTGCAGTGGTTAAGATTCTAATAGCCTGGGTTGGAATGGAAGCTCCATCACTGGCATGTGACCTCAGTTTCTTTATCTGTACAGCTGGATCTTTTTGGTTTTTACTTCATCAGGTTGATGTGAGAATTAAATGAGATGATGAACATTCAGTGCATAGCACAGGGCCTGGCACAGAGCAAGTGTGCTCTCAACATCTTTTGGTTGAAGTTGTCGTATGAAGGGAGATTAGCCTGAAAATTGTCATGTGTTTGTGTGTGCATGGGGGGGCAGGGCAGGGATGGTGGTGGAGTGGTTGTCAGAGTAAGAATTAAGGATAATTGAGCTGATCTTTGGAGTCTCCAGGACTGGATGAACATTAAAGACTGGGGACTTCTTAGGACCAGAAACCTATGCCAGGTTGGCCCAGGAGATGGCAGGGGTTAGGTCTCACAGCGTTCCCCACGAGTGTGAAGAACTGTATGCTTGCACCTGGGTGAGCCATTGGGAATGAGGTCATGGATGGAAGCTGGAACGAGGTGGAAGAACATAGAACACATTGCAGAATGTAGAGGCTAAGAGCACTGGAAAGTCATTGAGAAATACCCCACTACACTCAGGTGAAAACTCAGACTCCTTACCACAGCCTGAATGTCCTACCCACCACTCCCACTTTATCTCCTACCTTCTCCCCCCTCACTCACAGTGCTTCAGCCACCCTGGCCTCTTTCGTCAATCTTATCAAGTTCTTTCCCATTTGGGGGTCTTTGTACTGGTGTTCCTTTCTCAGAGGAATCTTCTGAACCATTCAAACTAAACTTTTCCCCCATTTTACTGTTTCACAGCTACTTACCTTTTCCTGCCATAGTACTTATTACTACTTGAAATTACTGTTTATCATTTACCTGTTTGGTTCTCACTCTAGAAGGGGAGCTCTGTGAGGAAATGGTGTCTGTCTTGCTCACACCACATCCTCAACACAGTGTCTGGCGTATTGCAAGTGACCAATAGCTGTCAGTTGAATAATCATGAATAAAGATGGTGAAAAGAGAGCCTTGAGAACAGAAAGGATATGGCCGAAGAGATAAGTGGAAGGCCAGTCATTTCCTGGAAGGTTTTCAGAGAAACTCTGGGATCATCTTGCCTAACTTTCTCAATCCATAGGTGGGAAAACTGACGCCCAGAAAGGAGGATTGGCCAGCCTGAGGGCACCCAGAGAGCCACTGCTATGGATTCCAAGCCCACTGGTTCAAATGGCACAGACCAGTCTGACAGGATGAGGCCCAGAAAAGGTTACAGCCACCTCCTTGAAGCCATTACAGTATGTCCACACTCCTCCCCCATCGTACAGGGGAGGAGGTTTCTTTTCTGGGAGCAGAGGCGCCAGTCAGCTGACAAACTGCAAGGAGGGCTGAGGAAGGTGGAAGGCCCATCCTCTGACCAGGCAGCTATTCTGAAGCAGCTAGGGATAATGGCTGGTACCAAAATAACCCAGCCTCCTCACCTTGTTCCAGCCCTCACACCTCTACCCCACCCCAGGTGAAGCTAACACTTGACTTTCTCTCAGCAACACTTTAACTCCTCAGCTCTTAGCAGAGCCTGTAGGGGGCAGGGTGATCATCAGACCCAGCCCTGCCCACTGGGGGGCTCACAGTCTGGTGGGGGAGCCCAAGTAGTGACAAGTCAGGTTGTGGAGTGATGGCCAACAAGCTCTCTCAAGTAAAGAAGATGCTCAGAGGAAAAGATCCTTGTGAAGGTGAGGAAAGCATTCCGAGTAACAGAGGAAACTATCAGTACAAAGGGAGGGAAGCAACAAAGCTAAGTTTCAGGAATAGTTGCAATTTTAGTGGGTGGGAGCATAAGGAATTTAAGGGGGGGGGGTGTCAGAACGGGAGGAAAAGGGGTTTTGATCAAATTTTGTAGAGCCTTAAATACTAAGCTGAAGAGCTTGGGCTATCTTTAGCGGGCAAAAGTGAGCCTTGGACGATTTTTGATTAAGAGTATGCCATGATCAAGGAGCCCTGGTAGCACAATGGTTAAGCACTCGGCTGCTAGCCAAAAGGTGGAGGTTCAAAACTTCCCACTGGCTCTGTGGGAGAAAAAGCTGGCGATCTGCCCCTGTAAATATTAGTCTAGAAAACCCTATGGGGCAGTTATACTCTGTTACATGGGGTCGCTACGAGTAGAAAATCCACTCGATGGCAAATGACAACATGCCATGATCAGGTCTGCAAGTATCAAGTGCCCTATGGCCGCTTTGAAGAGTTCGCCCACGGAGGGGGAGGGGGCAGATCAAAGAGAGATAGCACTTTATTCTGGATGGACACTTCCAGTAGGAGGCAGGTATTAGGGCTCTGTACCTCGACAGTGAGTATCATTATTTCCTAGACTCTTGTGCCAAGCCTCTTCCGGGATTCAACTTTCCTCGCCTGCTTCTGAATTCGAAGTTTGAGCAGAAAAAAAAAGTGCTGCTGGAGCCATAACCCTAGACAAGGTGTCCGAGCTGCAGAGACTTCAACTCCAACAATGCTTCGCTCTAAAACTCTGCAGGTCGCGCATGCTTATTTTCAAGAAAGGGGGGCCCGGTTTACAGGCAGGTGGAACTCGACCCTGGGTGAAGTGCGGGAAAACCTAGAGACCGCCATCTTAGCTTGGATCAAACCATTGTACACTTAGCGTGAGGTTCACGTTTACTCTCTGTCGTCAGTTCATGTAAGTACTGAAATAAAACTCAAGTAATCATTTCAACTCTCTTAATCATACTTTACGTTGAGAACTCCTTCCAGTTTGCAGCTTAGTCGAAAACTGAACCCTCAGGGAGACAATAGCACATCCCAGCATGGCCGCAGTCAGCTAGATTCCTCTGGGGGCGGAGTCGGAAGCGGCCCCGGCCCACCTCCTGGTAGGAGGGAGTTTCCGTTTCCGGCAGCGGCGGCTGCAGCCTCGCTCTGGTCCCTGCGGCTGGCGGCCGAGCCGTGTGTCTCCTCCTCCGCCGCCGCCATATTGTCTGTGTGAGGAGAGGGGAGAGCGGCCGCCGCCGCTGCCGCTTCCACCACAGGTACCGTGGGAGCCGCCAGGCGAGGTCGTTGAGCGCTGGAGGTGGCCCAGAGTGGGACAGCGGGGCACGACCGCACCTTAAGCTTCCAGGGGACTCCCGAATGGCCCGTCGCCATCTCCTGCCCCCTCTTCCACATACTCACCAGCCGAGGCCCCTGCAGCCCATCGGGAGGCCTGGGGCCACCCTCCCCTCCGGGCAGGGAACGGGGCTTGGGGGTAGGGGCCCGTGTGAGAGTGGGGAACCAGCTCTGGAAGTCCAGTTTCTTGCCGGGAAGAGGGCTGGACTGGGGCGGGGACTAGGAGGCAACTTGGGGGAGGGGGTCGCCATCGGGGGAAGGGAGCGTGAGGGGTGGGGCCGAAAGGGGATGCTATGGGAGAGTGCAGCAGGGAATGGTGCCTGCTGGGTAAGGTGGGGTGAACTCTCCTGCGGAGGAGGAGGGCTAGAGTAGGGGTCTTCCAGGGGTCCCTTGGAGCGAGGCTGGACTTCCGACTTGGAGACTGGGGTGCAAGGTGAAGGGTGTTTCGGGCGCGGTCGCAAGGGAGAAAGAAGAAGGGGACCATGAAGAGGGTCGAACGGGTGGCGTTGAGTTAAGGGTTGGTTTGGAGCCTGGATGGAAGAGGCGAGATACATGGAATGAAAGGTTGGCTAAGAGTATATATACATACGTATATAAGTTGATGACCTTTTTAAAGAGTAGGTCTTTTTAATTTTGTCTTGCTATTATTTATTTATTTATTTATTTTGTAGTATTGGAACATTTCTCGGTTAGGCAGGTGTTGGGTGGAGCTTCTGTAGTTTGTTTTTGGGAAGCAAAGTCAGGGTCAGAAGTTGCTTCTTGGCTCTTGCTGTTGCGGGGAGGAAAGAGTTTTGAAAAGGAGGCGGCAAGTTATTTGGGAAGACTTGATTACCTTGCAGCTGCTAAATTGTTTGAGAAGTGAGCCTGGGGAGAGGAAATGAAAAAAAAAAAAAAAAAGCTGGAAGGGAAGACTTTCTGAGTTGGAGACCTCATTCCATCTGAGGAGTGGCAATAGAGGTCAGTGGTTAAGAACTAGATTGCCTGGATTCTTGAATATCAGTGCCACTGCTCCTTAGCTGTATGATCTTATTCTCTGTAAGCCTCAGTTTTCCTATCTGTAAAATGAAGATGCTAATATTTTGCAGCTCATAAGTTTACCGTGAGAAGTAAATAAGAGTTCTTGTCAAATGTTTGTTAGCACAGTCTTTGGCAGGTAGTAAGTGCTCAGTAGATTTTACATGTCACTGTTATTAAGGAGACTAACTGGTATATTTGCAGTTCTTCATTCTGAGTGAAATTTGTGATCAAGAATTGGACAGTAGGCAAAGCAAAGAGTATTATCTTTTTAGTTGCTACAGTGTTTTATTTTGTTCTGAGTCAGTTGGCTTGCTCTACTTGGCTGGGGCTGAAAGACCAGGACCAATACTAATACTAGTTCTACTCCATGTTGATTTGAAAAAAAATCACTTGCAGTCTTACCTGGCAGGTTTGTCCTTCTGTGACTTTGAAATACTTGGCTTTCATCTGCTGTTGGGGGAGGAGGTATGACTTGGAGAAGGAATGAAACAATTGGAAACTGCTCAGATTGATTTATCAGCTGATTACAAAGTTAGATCACCCTGGGGCAACTTATCTTTTTTCTTTTTTTAAGTAAGCCTAGTTATGCTCTCTTTTGTAGTATACAGTGGAGAAGGGGAACATAGGTTAAGTTTCTAAGTAATTAGTGAATTGCTTTGCAGTTTAGGGGTGAAGCAGCAGCCAGCTGCTTTTTTTCCATAATGTATTTGTAGTTCTCCAGTTACCTTCCACCTCTTTTCCAGAATGAGTTCGAATTTTTACTGTTGTCTCAATGTCTGGACATAAGCCTTTACTTCACATACACTTTTGAAGAAAGGGGAAATTTTTGTTAGGAGTGAATTTAAAGACTTGCTTGTTTGGGGGTTTGTAGTGGGCCAATGAGGAGTGCTGGTGGCAGCAGTGGTGAGGTGCTCAGGTGCGAAGGTCTGCAGTTCAACCCACCAGCTCTGTAGGAGAAAAGACTTGGCGATCTGCTTCCTTAAAATTACAACGTTGAAAACCCTGTGGGGCATTTCTACTCTGTCCTGTAAAGTCACCATGAGCCAGAATCCACTGAGCACACAACAATAGTAGATAGAATGACTCCTGTAAAGATGCCCTTAACCCCCAGACTCTATGAACGTGTTAACGTTATATAGCAAAAGGGACTTTGCAGATGTAATTAATATTAAGGACTTTAAGATAGGAAGATTATCTTGACTTTTCTGGATGGGTCATACACTTTTGCCACAAAGTCAATTCCTATTCATGTTGTTGTTGTTATGTGCCATTGAATTGGACCTGACTCATAGTGACCCCTCCTTGGGTTTCTGAGGCAGTATCACCACAGAAGTAGATTGCCCCATCTTCCTTCCGAGGAGTGGCTGGTGATAGTGACCCTATAAAAGAAACCAAATTCACTGCCGTCAAGTCAGATCCGACTCATAGTGACCCCTCCTTGGGTTTCCGAGGCAGTATCACTGTAAAAGTAAATTGCCCAGCCTGCCTTCTGAGGAGTGGCTGGTGGGTTTGATCCGGCAGCCTTCTGGTTAGCAGTCAAATGCCTTAGGCACTATACCATCAGAGCTCCTAGTGACCCTATATGTTGTTAAGTGCCATCAAGTCGGACCCGACTCACAGCAACCCCTCCTTGGGTTTCCGAGGCAGTGACCCTATATAGGATGGGGTAAACTACCCCATAGAGTTTTTTGAGCTGTAATCTGTCCGAGAGCAGATTGCTAGGTCTTTTCTTCCATGGAGTGGCTCCTGGGTTTGAACTGCAGCCTTTGGGTTAGCAGCTGAGCATTTAACCACCATGCTGCCAGGGCTCTTTGATCTGATCATGAGCCCTTAAAATTTAAGAACTTTTCTCCAGCTGGAGTCAGATTCACAGCATGAGAAGGACTCCCCTTGCCAATTGCTAGATGGGGCCACATGGACAGCATGAGTCTGTAGCTGACCACCAGCGGGGAAGTGGGAACTTCAGTCCTACAACTGCAAGTGACTCAATTCAGCCAACAGTCTGAATGGTTGGAAGCCCACTTTTTTTTTTTTAACACATTTTATTGAAATATAATTTATGTACAGTGAAATACACAAAACTAAAGTGACATGGATCAGTGTATATTCCCCCCCCCATAATGTCCCCTCCCCTCCTCTCCCACCCCTGGCAACCAACAAAAAAGTTTTCCTCCATATATAAACCTTTCCTTGACCCTCCACAACAACGAACTAATACTGTATTTGTCATTCTGTGATTGACTTGTTTCACTCAGCATAATGTCCTCCAAGTTCATGCATATTAGGTGGTGTTTTGCAGACTCTACATTATTCTTCAGTGCTGCATAGCATTCCATTATGTGTATGTACCATAGTTTGGTCATCCACTCTTCTGCTATAAATCTTAGAGATTAGAGATAAATCCCTTGCCAGATATGTAAATAAAGGCAAATATGAATTTGTTGCTGTCATTTTTGTTAGGTACTTTTTCGTGGTGTCGATTTCTTTGTTCCATACAATTTTCTATGCTGAGCTCATATTGTTTATGAATCACGTTGTCACTTCCTTCATTGCTATTGTTTTAGTATTTGCTGAATATTTATGCTGGTCCTCTTTATTTTGAAGATACATCATCTTTCTTTGAAATTACCCTGTGATTTATAGTTTTCTTCCCAAGTTTAGAACAGTCTGTTCTGTCTTGTAGTTGTCTTCACTTCCCTACCATCTAGAAGTTCCGTGTTGTTGTTGTTGTTATGTGCCGTCGAGTCGGACCCAACTCATAGCAACTCCTCCTTGGGTCTCCGAGGCAGTATCACTACAGAAGTAGATTGCCCAACTTTCCTTCTGAGGAGTGGCCAGTGGGTTTGAACCGCCAGCCTTCTGGTTAGCAGTCAAGTGCCTTAGGCACTACGCTACCAGAGCGCCTAGAAGTTCTGTAATGACACAGGTTTTTTTTCCCTCTTCTTGGTTTGCAGTTGTCTTTGTTTGTCAATTGATGTCTCTGGTTCCCTGTTTATAATCTTGTAGGCTTATTTATTTTGGATACGTCCATAGCTGGGTTGGTTTCTGGGTTGCATCATCATGTGTGTTAATGGTCAGTTGTTGTTGGCTGTTGTTGTGGAAGCACATTCTTCCCCAGAGTTTCTAGCAAGGATCATTGACCTCTGGGTATCTTGATTTTGGCCTTTTGAGATCATAAGTGGAGGACCTAGCCAAGCCCACCCAACTTCTGACCTACAGAAGCTGTGAGATAATACATTTATGTTGTGTTAAGCCATTTGTGCTAATTTGTTATGGTAGCAGTAGAACACTGGTAAAGATTTTGGTACCAGGAATGAGATGCTGTTACCTGAAAATGCAGGAGTGGTCTTGAAATTGGGCAGTTGGTAAAGGTTGGGAGAAATTTGAGAAGCATGATAGAAAAAAACCTAGATTACCTTGAACAGATTGTTAGTAGAAATATGGATGCTAGTGATTTTTGCTAGTGAGGACTCAGAAGAAGGTAAGGAAAGTGGTAGAGAAATCCTGAATTGCCCTAGAGTATATCTTTGTTATTATGAACAAACAGAATTAAGGATACTAAAAGTAGTCTCTGAGAGTTTAGAAGGAAATGACATATAGATTATTGGAAACTGGGGTAAGGGGAATCCTTGTTACATAGTAGCAAAAAAAGATTAACAAAATTGTATTCTGCAGTGATGTAGAAAACAACTTGTAAATGATGAATGTAAATACTCAGCTGAAGAGATTGCCAAGCAAAATGTTGGAAAATGCAGCCTAGGTTCTTCTTACTGTCCATTTAAAACTGTGAGGAGACAGAAAAATTCAGAGAAGAAATGTTAAACCTAAAGGACTTGATTGGGAAATCCTCAGCCTGTCCAGATGGTGAAAGACACTAAAATTAAGAGATTACTTCCAAAAATGGCAC